AGATCAATAAGTGTCATTGACAACTAAGCTAGGTCACAAGAGATGTTCTGCTTGCACAGTTGATGTGAATCTCCTAGGCCATACCTTACATCCATATCTGATCCATCATTATTTAGCTCACAGCCTTTTATTCAAAAAAACAAACTAAAAAAAAAAAAAAAAAAAAAAAAAAAAAATGTCAGGGCAAAGCAATACAATGATTTCCAATTGAATCATCAAAAATCTATTGTTCAGATCTACAATCTCTGACATTAGGTGGCTATGATAACTCTCATGGTTCAAATACAAAATACAGCCTGCTTGTTAACACCAAGCAGTGTTTTTTCACAGTATTTTATGTAATGCCAAAACACAGAGACTGAGAAAACTTTGCCTGACAAGCTTAATTGACCTTTCTTCTTGCTCAATTTCACATAAAATAAGGGACACCAAAATGTCATAAGTATGGCACAGTCAGTAGTTGAATGTATGTAGACAAATGGTTGCCATACTTCAGGTCATTTATTGGGTCGTATCCACGAGAGCAAAAACAATCACTACCATCCTGTGAGCCCAATCATGTTTAGATTGCACAGCGTGTTTATCCGGCCCACGCTGAACAACATTGTGTAATCTGCAATTGTGTGATTTGATTCCTGGCCATTACAATACTTGATAGGACATTGCCCTTGTGCCGCTGTATGCCTGCCAATATTTTCACCAATGCGAGTCATCCCAGACTGAAATGTTTCATTGCCGACCTTGTTGCCAGAATTTCCAGGTAGACAACTTCTCAACGTCTGCAGCTTACAAGGCGAAGCATGCAGAAAACCAATTAAGATAGATGCTAAATAAAATTATGGAAAAGAAAGAAAAATAAACAAACAACAAAAGGGTGTTGAATTCTGTCAATCTAAAAGATGGCAACCAACTGCTAAAAACGACAAGTCAGCATGAAACCCCCCCCAATATTTATTTATTTAATGCTTACATGGAATGCTTGCATGACCTTGAAATCTTGGATTTTGCCTGTGACCAGCAAAGTTGCCATACTTCTAAAGGATTTCCATCTTCCCTGACTGGTGCACCAAGGTGCTTACTCCAAGTTTAAGTGCACTGTCTGGCCCCTGGAACACCAGTAAGAACACAAGTTTCCAGTCATTAGGAATAAGCACCCAATTCCCATCTCTCACAATGTAGTGCAGTGTTCTTGAGCAATCCTGTGCATGTTTTGCATTATGCAATTACTGAGTTTTCGATAAATCAGTATTTACATAGGAATAACAGGGGGCTCCAATCGCAGAGCTGTTAAAGTGACACTAAACTCAGGAGTTAAATCTTACACATACCATTACTAGTAACAAAAATGTATCTTATTTGTGTATCACTCGGCCGTAGATCCTCAAATCATCTCTGAATTCATGCCAACGCTGTCCTTCCTTCTGGAGGGGGACTACTACTGTTCCCCATGGTCCCCAATTGTTGTAAAGTAGTAACAGCTCCAAGCTCACTCCTGTGATGGACTACAATCTTATGTTTAGTTTACTAATTTGTATTGAGATTGTAGTCCATCATGGGAGTGATCTTGGAGTGGTGGCTACTTTACAACACACACAGGGACCATCGGAACACAAATAACCACCCTCCAGAAGGAAGGACAGTTTGCCTTTTATACATTTATCTCAGTTCTAATTCTTTAAATAATTCTATGATGCCATCTGCTCACTGTATGGGAAGACCTGCTGCACTGATCTGTAGGCGACCGTCATCCCTTGCATGCCGATATTGACTGCAAATAAAACTGGAAATACAAACAAGTGAAAGCACACACTACTCAAGATAACCATCGATTCCTTTAGATGGGAGAAGCATACAAAGACACTTAAGTGTAAACACTCCGACAACCAAAAGAATTCTCATCCCCTTGAACCTACAAGTACCTTTTACTCATCAGAACCATACCTGCAAGTTATCTCCCAGGTACAAACCAAAGAGACTTATCATTAGAATAGCATTCATGTGAAACAATGATAGGTGACATGAAAGGCTATGGAGTCACCAGAAAACTACACAACACGTTTTTACCTTGAACGGTTTATTGAAACACGACTACTAATGTGGCTTCTAAGAGTCCTCACAAGAGTGGCCCATACTCCAGAGCTGGATAAATGAATATGGAATTCAAGAGCCAGCATCTCTTTAGGAAGCAACTACATTGCCAACTAGAGAAGACCTTAAAAGTGAGGCACCACATGTAATTTTGAAGGATCACTGGCTACCTGGCTCCTGGGATTGGTCTAGTCCTGCTATATTGTATCACGGGTTCTGCCCCCAAAAGATACAAATATTAAAAATGCTCATAGTCATTCATTTGCTCTATTCCCGGCACCACTTCAGATTCCATGACACTGTTACTTGGCATTAACAGATGTCATCATGATACATAAGTCCCCCCATATCTCTTAAGAACCTCTGTACAGTGGAATTACCAGCTGCCACCCACAGAAAAGGACACATTGGCCTTCACTGATCAACTATGAAGATGACTGGTCTCAGACTTCAATGTCCACAGCAAACAGTATGGGTATCACATCATCATGGGCACCGACACTGGAAAAAGTGCACCAAACAACTAATACAGACAGTAGAAATGCACAAAGACATAATAAAAGAGATGTATGTACAAAAACAGGAGACAAATAATTGACCTTTATAAGCTAAAGGACGACTCCAGCAAAAGGACGACGCCAGGGAAAAAAAAGTGTTTGTTTTATAAATGTGCTGGTAAGAAATGGGTAACTGTAATTAGGTGTATGCCGCTTCCTCCATCACTGCCCGTTCTTTACTATTTCACTTTTATTCATGCTGAGAAGTCTAGCCATCACTATCCTCTTCCAGGACTGCAACCAGAGAGCTGCGGGTCTCCTACACACAAGCTGTACTATCCACCTCTCCTCCCCCGGCCCATTCACAGAACGCTTCTGTCGCAGGGTGGAATGTATAGCAATAACTACACTTCCCGGCATTAATAAAGTCCAAATATTAAAGAACGGCAGTGATGGAGCAGGTGGTGTACACCTAATTACAGTTAACTATGTGTTACCCAACAAATAAAAAAAATCCAGGAGTTGTGCTTTAAAGAACAACTCTAGACAAATGAGAAATTAACTCTTGAAGTGGAGCTATCCCCGCACGGCAAGGGTTAAACCAGTCTTTTACCGCCTTTCATTTAAAAATCACATCAGCAGGCAGCTCTGCATGTCGATATGAAATCATCTTACAATCATTAAACATATTTTAATTTTAGTTACAATTTCTTGTTTTCTACTTCCTGGTTCTCTTTGGCAAAAGTGATGTGAACGTGCCCAGGGGTTGCATCCTGGGAAGGTTACATCGGAAGAGCATTGCTGGGAAATCTCATGAGATTTCAGGGAAAGGCATTTTCCTCCCCTGAGATGATGTGCTTGGTTACATGTCTAGTCACATGTGCCAGAGTTCCAGGAAGTAAAGGGAGATGGATTTATCTGCCCTTAGTAAACCTTGCCACTGTCAGAAGACTGGGAAAGAAAAGAGAAATACAATTGAAAATTCAAGCCATGTACGGATGGCTTAAAGTGACACTAAACTCGGGTGTTACATCTTAAAAATGCATTCAAGTACTTAAACTTTTACCAAAAATGTATCTTAATTGTGTATCCCTCGGCTGTAGATCCTGAAATCATCTCTGAATTGGTGCTGACACTGTCCTTCCTTCTGGAGGGTGGCTACTTTTGTTCCCCATGGTCCCTGTGTGTGTTGTAAAGTAGTCACCGCTCCAAGCTTGCTCCTGTGATGGACTACAATCTCAATAGAAATTAGTAATTTAAATGTGAGATTGTAGTCCATCATGGGAGTGGGTTCTTTACAACACACACAGGGACCATGGGGAAGAAAAGTAGCCACCCTCCAGAAGGAAGTACAGTGTCCGCACCAATCAGAGATGATTTGAGGATCTACAGCCGAGTGATACACAAATAAACTACAGTTTTTGTAAAAGTTAAGGTACTTGAATGCATTTAAGATGTAACACTCGAGTTTAGTGTCACTTTAAGCCATCCGTACCTGGCTTGAATATTCAGTTCCCGAATTTGGAGCATGGGCGGCCTGTCAGCAGCACCCGGCTTGACAAAAGTTGAAGAGGCCGGGGGGAAAATAGTTGGCTGAGCCATGACTGCATCCAATTATCTGCAGTCACTGTTCCGATGTCACTGCGGGCCCCGGCTGCCAGTGGAGATTCCTCTATTCATGCTGTTTAGCGTAGATAGGAAAATCAAAATGATCGCTCTCGCTGAGCCTGTCGGACAGAACAAGAGTCATCTACACATGTATGGCCAACTTATAATTTTACATCGCAGACATGAAAATGGATCCTAATGGGCAGAATCAGGTGACAACAACACACCAGGCCCCGGACTCCGCTGTCATCAGAAGTAGTCATTACACTATAGACATGACTGAGCTGTGATCCTACATACAACCCATCAGTCACAGAGCACATACATGTCAGATCTGTGATCTCACATCTGTAACAGAGCACATACATGTCAGATCTGTGATCTCACATGAGTCACAGAGCACATACATGTCAGATCTGTGATCTCGCATGAGTCACAGAGCACATGCATGTCAGATCTGTGATCTTGCATCAGTCACAGAGCAGTACATGTCAGATCTGTGATCTTGCATGAGTCACAGAGCACATATATGTCAGACCTGTGATCTTGCATGCAATCTATCAGTCATAGAGCTCAGACATGTCAGATCTGTGATCTCACATCACATCAGTTACAGAGACCATACATGTCTGCATGCTGCAATACACATGAAATGTAATGCCGGGGACAGGACATATCGGGGTGAATAGTAATGATCCCGGTAGGCACACGAGGTGTCATTGTAAATTTAGCGTACCCCGCCCATCGCAAAGTGCCAATCTCCCCGGGGTGACCCCTCACCAAGGTGACACACACACAGGTACATACCCTCCAGCAAACAGATGTACCAAGGTGTCTCTCTGGCTCATTCTCTCTCATTCTTCTCCCCTGCACACTGGAGAGGAGGGCAGGGGAGCCGCTGGCGCTGGATCCGGCCTCCCTCTGCTGGTCTCGCTGAGGTGAGGATCCCCCGCTGACACACAGGCGGAGGAGGACAGGCAACCAATGTGGGTGGTAGGCCCTCTAGCAGGCTCCTAATGCTTGCACGCAGCTCTGCCGGCTCCTGGCTGCTCCCTGCAAGAAGTGCCAAGCAATATGTGTGTATATATATATATATATAGGTCTATAGCGCCTACATAGGCTGTAGAGAAGCCCCTGCCCTGCGTCCCTCCTCACACACCCAGGCTGCCCAGAGTCGCCGTCTTCTCCGCTACTACCGCCTCTCTCTCATGAATATTCAGCAGCCCGACATCAACACAACACCGATTGGCTGGCGGCCCGAGCCGGAAGTGACTACACGGTGCGGCTGTCTCATGTGACGTCCACGGAATTGGCTCATGCTGGGCTGCTATAGAGTGTTCTAGGGCAGTATGCAAGATCCCAGCATACTTCAGGTCTAGAGAGAAAGAGAGTGCATGTAGAGTTATTCCATATTTCACTGGAATCAGCTTTTTCGGTTTCATTTTCTAAGCTGTGTAGAGGAAATGAAAGGATTTAATGTGTTGCTATGGGCAACAGAACCAGTTGAGATAGAACTTTCCTCAGGCACCTTATATAAGTTCCCCTGATGTGTGCATGTCATTATATTAGTGTGCTCAGTCTGTGCTTGTAGTAAGGTGGCTGCAGATTTCACTCTCAGGGCTGGAAGAGTTCCCCCTCATTGTTTTGTTTTCTTTGTTGTAGCAATATTCATGGTTTAGGCCTCAGGACGTACACAGTCTTACAAGTTTGCAAATCCGTGCAGAGACCCGCACCAAGTGGGGATGGTTCAACCTGAATTGGCACATCCGTACAGGTATGCATGTACACCATTGGACACAGACAGTCTCTGCACATCCTTGTGAATGAGGCCATGAGGAGCAAGTGAATTCTGCACGCTGTGGCCATAAAAAGGCAAGCAGGAAAATACTGGTCACTAGTGTTGCTTGTGGTCTCCCTGTATCTGATCCTTTCCGCACTACTGACTTACTATACCTAGTTCTGCACTGTGTTTCTGGTGAGGACATTCATCAGTTGGTGCTAATCAATGTTCATGAATGCTGTAAAGTGTCAGTACATAGCAGCTCCAACAGTCTGAAGAGTGCAAAAACAATCATAAAGTGACATTTGCTCCCCGTATCCCCTTCGCACAGTACAGTACTCCTTCTGTCCCCTGATATTTCCCTTTTGAAATGGAAAAAGAGATTGAGGACACAGAGTCCTAAATCTCTATTTCTGCAGCCCCTGTTATGAATGAACAGGAAGCTTCTATACCGATTGCTCCTCTGGAGATAGTATAACTAAGTCCACAGTCTTGAATGAACATGAAATGATGTAGAGCACTTCCTGTTCATTCATAATTGGGGACACAGCAAGCTTACTATATCCTCGGTTATTTGCACTCAGTGATCAGTACTGATTGCTGAGTGTTGTGCTCCGCTCTACATCCCGACTGCTCCACTTGTCACAGGAGGCGAGCTCTCCTGCACCGCCCCTCTCAGCCTCCTGCCAGCTTCTCTTTTCCCCGCTGGGCACTGGCAGCTCGATTGCTTCTGTGCCCCCTCTGCCAACACAGGCAGGGGAGAGCAGCAGGCATCAGAGGGGTCACAGACCGAAGCTTGCAGCCAGCAGGGAGGAGAGATGCTAGAGATGCACCGTATTATCAGCCATTTTTGTACTATCAGCATTTTGCCCATAGTACAATTTTCAGCCGAAATGTTAATGCATCCCTAGTAGCATATATTTGTGTGATCATAACTAGAGATGCACCGATACAAGTTTATCAGTACGAGTACCGATATTTTTTTTCGGTACTAGCCGAATACCGATACCGGAAGTACGGTTTCCGTACGACTTTTGACGTACGTAAACGCCACCAACCATGCGAAAATCGTACGATCGACTGAAGTTTCCGAACATGCAGGAAAGACAAAAGTCGTACGATTCATCAGTGCTGGTGGTTGCACACTACCCATACACCTTACGATTGTCGTACGAAAAGTCGATCGCATACGATTATCGTACGATAATCGTAAGGTGTATGGGCACCTTAAGACCCCTATTTACACAACTACAGGGCCACTGTACTTTCCAGCATCTCTTTGGAGTGTGGGAAGAAACCAGAGTACCTGGAGGAAACCCAAAGCAAGCACAGGAAGAACATGCAAACACCTTGCAGAAGTTGTCCTGATCAGGATTTGAACCATTATAGACATTAGACATTATAACATTACAGGAGGACCTGGATAAAATAGGGGAGTGGGCATTAATGTGGCAGATGAGGTTTAATGTTGATAAATGCAAAGTAATGCACTTTGGAATTAAAAATAAACAAATGGGTTATACAATTATGGGTATGCCGCTAGGGAAGTCAGAAATGGAGAAGGATTTGGGGGTCATTGTAGACCACAAACTGAAAGGTAGCTTGCAGTGCCAGGCTGCTGTAAACAAAGCTAGCAGGGTCTTGTCCTGTATTAAGAAGGGGATATATCGCAGGGACAAGTCTATAATTGTGCCACTTTACAGATCATTGGTTCGACCTCATCTGGAGTAAGCGGTCCAGTTCTGGTCACCAGTACTAAGAAAATATGTCCTTGAGTTGGAAAAAGTCAGCGGAGGGCCAACCAAACTAATTAG